ATATTATAAAAAGGAGAAATAATATTATACAGGAAAAAATTAAGGTGGGGGGAGGTGGGCGCAGATGGAATGCAAAAAAATAATGTGAAATTAAATTAAATATTAGAATATTTGTTAATCTTGTACTGCAATATTTAAGAAGTTAATCTCTATATGAATTTTGTAATTGATAAACTGTTATTGCTGCTGCTTAAAATGCAATTGTTGTTGTTGACTGCTTTTACTATTGCTAATGCCATTATTGTTGTTACACATTTAAAATTTACCTGACAAGAGTTGCAGTTTGCCCCATACTGACGTTTCACTCCTGTCTTCTGTGCCTGTGTCAACTTCTTGTATTCAGCAACCCAATTACATCCATTTATATTTAGCATTATACCTTCCTCTTTTTGACCTGTGTTACAAACAAATATTAGTCATTTATAATTTCATAATTGGATCAGTGAATGAAGGCATATTTTAGTTGATGAATGGATATGTTTGGCTAAAAACATAATTAATCTATTGTTAGAGCTTATGTCAGGTTTTATGGGGAAAATATTGATTTGCCCGTATGTATTATATAATATGACATAAAGTTAGTTAAACAAAACCATAAAAAAATTAAATTTGCTCTGATATAGTGGAAGAAGGTGATACAAGTATATTTTTATAATTATCAATATAATAATATACAGTAGTACTGAGAGTAGTTTTTGACTGGATGCTGAAACAGCCATTTCTACATATTAAAGTGAACATTTTTTTTTTTTGGAAGTATCAATAATGTAAACATGTTGTCATCAGAATTGGTTGTCTGCCACATATAGTTATGCTCCATTTCCTGGGAAACATTTGGTAATTTCAAAACAACCCCCACAACAACAGCTTTGAAACAAATATATAGTAAGCAGAATTTGGCGATGTGGGGTTCACAAGGTTGTTAGATTGTAATGAATTGGAATACTGAAGTCCTATGTTTTCATAATGAACCCATGGAGTTAATGGGTCACATGAGGTGGTAGGGGGTTGCAAAGATTTTCTGTGGCATGTGCCTTCCACATGCACCTCCTTAGATATGCCACTGGTCCTGAATACATTTTTTAAAAGACTATAGAAAGAAGAGAAGCTCCAATTAGTATTTGGCTGCCAGAGAAAGAGTAGACATAAATTGATGAGTTATCATTTTGTCCTCGCTTTACAATTTCAGGGGTTTTCTTCGATTTTGTCTGTTGCATGAGGAGGAAATGATGACAGATAAAATTGGCTTTTGTCCTCTAATATATTAATCTTTTTTTTTTCCCCAGATTTTCACATCCGTTTTAGAAATGTCATGTTTGATATTAATCACATAACTTTTTAGATATACCAAGAACCCTTGGGATATATGTTTGATGTTCTTGAAGGAAATAAATATATTATTATTGTTATTATTATTATTATTATTATTATTATAGTAATACCTGTAGTTGTTTTTTCATTCTACTTTCTGTACCTTTGACAAAGTTATCAAGGCAATCTTGTGTGTTATTCATCAGATTTGGAATGACTTAACAATTAATAGTAACATCAAACATATAGCTATTTTGTCATTTAAATATCATTCAGAATGTTTTCTCCTATTATCTTATTATATAAGCCTACCACATACATAGATTCTAGACATCTGATTGGTTAATAAGTGGGCAATGGAAAGTATTCTCTATGCCATATTGCTATGAAATTTATGACAGTATGAATGGTAAAAGAGACTCGGCCTCTACAAATCTTAGAGTGATTGACCTTTTGATCACCTAGCCAAGGCCTACTTGGTGTGTACTATTTTCATTACTTTTTTAGGTCTGTTAGAATCTATGTATGAGGTATATGAAACAAATATTGACTGCAGTAGATTTCACTATTCCCCTCATGAGCAGTCAACTATACCACAAAACAATGAAATTTGATATTTTAATAGTATATATTTATGTCCCATGATACCTCAAAATGTCAACACATCTTTTGAAATATTTTTATATGTTATTAACTTAATATGTTAGTAACCACATATTTCCATAGTTTGAGTGCTTGTTAATATTTGACCTAATTTTTGAAAGAATTGGCATTATACTATAGCCTTATGTTTCACATAGTTTTCCCTTGGTAGCATTATCCTAAGCAAACTGTATCTGGTAATTCTGTACCAACTGGTAACTAATCAAATTTCCATACTCTCAAGAGATCAAAAAGAAATAATAGTACATTATGCTAGCAAACAGGATAATTTTGAATCGTGCCTTAAAAAAAACTCGCATTTATTCAAACATTTGCTAATTTTAAACTGCCTTCTAGGTATTTTTTGAAATGAAATTTTGAAAATATGGTCTTCCTTGGAGTGCAAAAACGAATAAAAATGCGATCAAAGAGAAAATCAAATGCTGATTAATATGGTTAATTGGCATTTTGTGGTAGAAAGAATGCTAATGTGTCTGGTTGGTGTATAGGACTGTACATGCCAAATGACAGTAATAAATGTTGATAAATCAGTTAAAGAAAGGCAATGTATTTTCCTTACCTGAAATCATGTAAGACTTTCTGTTCATTAAGTTTCCAATCCCACACATATTATTGTCGGCTTCTGTTTTGATATACACGTCCATCCCTTCACTGAAGTATGATGCTCCCTTGTAGACCTTTTCGACTTGAACTTTGTAAACAACGTAGTAGTTGAATGGCATGTCTCCTTCCATTCCCGTTCCCATGTCTGGCATACCATCTCTTGTTGTGTAATTCCGATTTAACACAGTTCCACGAATTACTAAAAAGAAGAATATAAACAAAATTCTACCTAAATGTGGATTATGTATTCAAAAAATCTCATTTATAAAATTGTATTTACTTTTTGTGAAAAATGTTTAAATCACAACATTGTATTCAATACAAAATGGGGGACTTGATCAAGAGTCTGTGGGCACTCTATGATTTTTTTACCCCACGCTAACATTTCTTTATTCGTCAATATCATTTTAAAACATTTTTTATGCTGTTGGCAAAACCATTTTGCTAAATGTGTACTAGACTGAATAGTGAATAAATGGCAGGGGCATTGCACAGGTACCTGTTGACCTAAGAAATTCAGAGTTTAGAAAACCCAACATTTTAACAGCCAATTATTACAGTAACTGTAAACTCTGAATGATTTATTAGAAGTTTTTCCAAGTTTTCCAAATCACAGAGGTTAAATAATATAGAGCACTTTTTAGTAAACCTATTCAGTTGTGGTTAGTATGGTTACAGGATCTACTCTACTACATATTTCTTCAAAATGTAGCTTGTGTTTCTGAATACTGTAGTGGGAGAACCTATTTGAAAATGATGACAGTTCTTTTGAATGTGTATGAACTTAAGGACATAATGTACTGGAGGATCAGTGATTTACTACACTCAAAAGAATTGCTGTTAGGCTCTTGAGAAGTTCAAGGCCGTGATATACAGTGCTGCTTACAGATTTAATTAAAAGAGTTGATGCATTTCATTTTAAATTGGAATAACACAATAGCACAAGTGTTTGTTTATGAGTTTATTTCCTTTTTTATTTTAAATTGCTAGAATATTATCTAATTTAGTTGTAGGTTTATATTGGAGATGTGGGTGATTACTAGATCCCTTGACAAATGATTTTATCCTGAGAGTAATTGGTAATTTGAAAGCTCTTTAGATTTTAAATGGATTTAATCATTTCCATACATTCCAAACTATAGCTTCCCTAATCCTTCAGACTTTTTATTTACCATGTTTCAGGAAAGAAGAGAGGGAAGATTAACAAAAACAGCATGTAAACTTTTTTTTTTTTTTAGAATTTCAAAAATACTACAGTAGATCAAACCTTTTTATGTACTTATTACTACAGTATTTGACTGTCAAGTGAGGAGAGAGGAAACATAAGAATACCATCTCATTACAGACCTTTCTTGAAAAGTATTGATGAAATTGGAACACTAGTTTTAATTTTTAATCTCATCTCATCAAATAACTCCCCAGTTTCCTACAAACTTTTGATGAAATTGGGACAAGAATTTCTGATGTATTTATTTTAAATATATTAGACCAATAAAGATAAAGAATAAGTTTAAAAAAAAAAAAAAAACAATCCCCAACCTGTTTCAATTGAAGAAAGGAAAATTAGAAAATTATCAACACCATGTCTTTTTCATAAACGTTTGATGGAACTTGAACAACTTCACAGTTCTGTCAGAATCTTGTGGAAATAATACATTAATGCCATATTTTTACTAGAGGAGAGAAAAGTCCTGAGTATAGATGATTCAGTGTTGCTTCTAACCAATAAATTTTCCTAATGTTTCCAAAATTGAATCTGAAGAATCCTAATGGCAGATGTCATCTTCTATTGAGAGTAATTTGTTAGATATGATAAACACAGGTAAAAACTGGAATCTCCTCAGCAGGAGGTATACTGTTTATGTTTTTTAGGGTTTGAGTCAGGGATAGCCTTAGTTTGTCACATGACTGGCTTGAGCTTCCTAAAGAAATAGGGTGATGAAAAAAGTAATTTTCTAGAAATATCTGGTGGAAATATCTGATGTAGATCTTGAGGTACCATTCATAAAAGTTTATTGTTTCCTGTTTTAGATAATGAGGAAACATGTGCAACAAACAAAAGATAATAATAAAAATAGGCCTATATAAAATTATTTAGCCTTTTGATCATTTCATTTAGGATTTTTTTTTTATGATGATAGTAAATGATGATGATTATAATAAAGTATAGCATACAGGATATATAATAGAGTGGAAAAGTTTCTCAACATAATGAAGATAAAGATGAAATCTTTGAAACATAAATTAACCAGCCTTTTTATTTAATCATTATGGATGGAGATGATGATGAAAATAATAATGATAATGACCATTATAATAATGTAGCCTACAGGATATAATAGAGGAGAAAATTTCCTCAACATGACGACGAAATCTTTGAAACGCAAATTATTCAGCCTTTCTATTCAATCATTATGAATAGGGATAATGATGAAAATAATAAATGTATTATAATATTAGAAAGATAATAAAGTAACTTAGACAAATTCTCACTTAAAACATCTTTAATAATGGTTATTTAAATTGGCCCATTATAGATGTGCTATATGTGTGCCCAGTATTATAATGTCAGTAATATCAAAATATAAAAGTAAAGTCTAAAATTTTCTTCTTGATTTTTCTAAATAGCATTGATAAATATAGTAGCAATATTTATTTAACCAAATATCAAATATATTTATAGTTAGATATATTACACTTTTTTTTAAATAGTAGAAGTATGCATTACTATAATTGACTTGATGGATTTAATAATGTCAATTTCAATTATCCAATACTGAACTGATTGATGTAGTTTCTTTAGTGCCACACTGAGATAACCCATAGAAATTTAAAAAAATAAAACTTAGTGCCATGTAAATTCAAATAAAATATGAAATACAAATTCTAGAGAACATAACAGTATATAGAAAGCATAAAATGGTGTACTGTATGAAATGAATTTAATTAAAATTTACACATCATAACATCATAATGCACTTAGTAAAACTTCTATGCAAAACTCACCAAAATCTGCTTCACAGTAGTGCTGTTGGGGATGTTTTGGAACACAGTCCAGTCCACATTCACTTCCCATACTTCCAGCTTCAATCATTCCAGCAAAAAGAAGGCACCCACAAAAAACAAGATAACTCTCCATCTTTGTTGTATTTTAAAGAAAGTGTTAAACAGACGGTTATCACGGTACGATGTGAAGCCTTATAACCTTTTTTGAAGATGATATAGATAAATGAATGACACAGTATAGTCACGTTATTCTCAGTCAGAAACTCGGCAAAATTCTCAGGCCTAGAAAATAATTATAATCAGCCTGGTTGAATGATCCTCCTTGACAGTTTCACTTGGTTGAAGTTGGCTTTTACTTTGATGGATTCAGTGAGGCTAGCTTTTAAAGGATAATGCAGTTATAGTAATTGCTTATCACCCCTCTGCTCATTTTTTGTCACATTCTACAGATGATTATAGCATGATTATAGTGTACCAGAATTTGATAATATTGCCTTGGAGGATTGTAATGTATGTGTAATATAATTTTTTATTGGTGTCATTTTTAAATGGATGAAATAAGATATTTCATTTTGAATTGTTATACTCATAACAAAAATGCATTTCCAAGAATTCCCATATCAGGTATTGAACATATATGTACCATTTTTTTTAAAAGTATACCTCACATGTTGGACAATAAATAAAATGAAAATTTGAAAGACTTATATATGTACCAAATATTTATTAGTATACGTTAATAATTTCAGTATTGTCATACTATTACTGCTGTGTATTTAGCTAAGTTACTTTTTAATTATTGTCAATATTTGTAAATATTACACTTATTTTTGCTTGTACCAGGGCCAGCGGTGGTGCCAGAAATTTGCCAACAAGGGGTCCGACATGTTCAATGGAGGGGAATGAACCAAGGGGACTAGAGCCTTGGTTGACGGCCTGGAATAAAAATGTCCCTAGTAGGCTTCACTGTAGGAGTTTTTATAGCTTAGTATGGTTCAAATTGTGCTTTTAGATCACAATATTAGGATTAATAATAATAAGAATAATAATAATAATAATATGCAGAAATTTATAACGCGCCAATTCAAAAAATATTATCAAAGGCCAGTGAACAATTAACCCAATTAAAGCAATTTTGTAAACCTAAAACGTTTTCAAATTAGTTTTAAATGAGTTTAAATTTGAAGATTGTCAAACAGAAAAAGGTAATAGATTCCAAAGATAAGGTGCCTGAACAGAAAATGAGTGTTGTCCATATGTTTTTAGCTTTCTCCTTTTTAAAGGGGCTTGAAGAAGAAATTTATCAGAAGAACGAAGTGCACGGGTTGGAGAGTATGGCGTAAGAAAATGTAGCAAATATGATGGTTGTTTAAAAAAGAGTGATTTAAAAACAAGCAAATGAATCTTGAATGTTATCCATTGTTTAATGCTAAGCCAATGAAGGTCTTTAAGAATGGGAGTAATGTGTTGTTTATGTGGAGTAAGTGAACATATCCTGGCAGCTGAATTTTGTACTTTCTATGAACGATGAGTATCCAAATCAGGCAAACCGACAAGCAATGAATTACAATAATCTAGCAATTAAAATAACATTATTTGGATAGGAAAATTATTATTTTTAACAATTTTGATCCAACCACCTAGTCATGGTTTTGGACATCAGGGGGTCCATCTAGACCTATCCGACAGGAGGGCGAATTCCCCCTGCCTAGTGCTAGTTATTAAATAGATATAGGATTGTATAAAGAAAGCTAAAATATATAATTATGAAATGTACTGTTATAGCTATATGAAAAAAGATATTAGTATATTGTTGCTTTTTAAGGAATGTGAGCCATTTATTGCAAAGTGAGTACAACAACTATTTGTTGTACTAATGAATGTATTAAGAAAATTGTTAATTAACCAGTAATTAGTTTTCGTAACAAGTTGTAGATTCACTTTCATTGTCTGTAGCTGGCTTACGAAATGAATTAAAATCTTTACATGAACTGGTTTAAATGATTGTTCGATAAATTCATCTTTTTTTAGTCACCACTTTGCTATAAGTAGAAGTACTTTATAATGTCATACAGTCATTTGGAACAGTAATACAATTCTCTCATATTATTACAGACATTTAGAAAAACATAGCAAAATGTCAAATGATAAATCTCAGAATAGGGTTAATTTATTGAATATTATTGTGAAAGACACAATTACTCATCTATTAATGAGATGTAGTACAATTAATTCTCATTGGATGTCTGTTGATGGGAGTTTGTATTCTCAATTCTGATAGTATAAATATGGAAACAGGATGGTTTAATAGCCACTTTTTAACACTAGGGTCTGTGGTTTTGATAAGTACATTATGTATGATTTATTTTTCATTAATCCTGGCTCAAGTCTACATCTGCATCCCATAATGGCCTTGTTAATATTGCTTTTTAAATATAAGTCTAAATATAGCTAGGCCTACAATATTTTTTTTATAATCTTTCAATCAAATACTTGTCATATGAGAATAATAATAATGTTTTTGATTGATTTATGCATGAAATGCTGTATAGGTATTTTTAGAAATTGAAATAATTTTTCATAACATACTGTAATTTTCACCAGCCCCATGTCTATAATATTGTCTGTATTGATTACATTCCTTTGTAAATCCCAAATTTAAATTAGATTGTACTTATTTTTATATTTTTTGGAGTAACTTCATTATCCTCTGTTGACATTTTTCAAACATAATACTAGAGGGCCTACACTTAAAGACTGACTCTGTATCAGCCAATACTTAGAAGACAAAGATGCTTTATGGAGCCATGCTCCTGTTGCTTTAACCAAGTGCTACGTCAGTGAGGCGCTTGTTAAATTTATTGGATCAGAGCATGAAAATGGTAGCAGGTGTTGTACAGGTCTTTCTGACATTTGTATTATGAGAAATAGGTTGTTTAATGTGTCCAGATGATACAAAATATCAAGGCATGTTGGATAAAAATCTACTCTTGATTGAAATGGTGACTTTTAATCAAAATAATCTAAGCACCACAGTGCTTAATCGAAAATGGAGCTTATTTTTTTTTTTTCTATTGATGTTATCAAGTTTTTGGTTCTTAGTAGTATTTTATTGTAGCCACTACTGATGAAGCAGTCACCTCATCAGACCCGTAACGAGGTTCCTATGAGAGTGAGAGACATATGCTCTGGTGGGGTCCAGAAGAAGACCAGAGCCTAATGTTATGGCATGTAAATAATTTCGTCATCGTTTTGAGAGTTAATGCAAAAAGAGGTTTGCTCAAAAAGGTGGTTTTAACTGAACCACAAACTTCCCTCCCCCAATCTGGTAATGGACCTGTTTAAGAACAAGTACATGTTTCTTGGAAGAATTTCATCTAGTCTTTATTTAAACTAATATACTGTAATTGGTTCTTTAATATAGAGACAAACTTACATGACAGTTTCGGTCACCACCAGCGGCAAGCTAGAGATGTAGCCTAATCTGTACATTCCAGTTATTTGATAATGGTAGCTGCTAACAACCAAAACTGATGTTTCAAAACTCTTTAGTCTATATATTAAAGAATCGATTACAGTATATTAAAGTAAATGTTTGTTTTCTTGTTCAAAGAACAAGTACATGTTTGATTTCATTGATTGAGTTGTTTGACATTATTAAAGTTTTTTTTTTATTGATTTTTATCAATATGAATTAAATTTCCCTTTTGTTTTTATCTTGCAGGTAAGAAATGTGTTTACTTCATATTTTTGTGAATCTTGAAATGTGTGTTGTACAAACTGTTTGGAAGTGAATGGAGAAAAAGACATCTAACCAGCTGCTTGCATAGCATCTCTGCCAATCAGTGTTGGTATAAGGTATTTCCTCAGCGGAAACTAGATGAAATCTGTTTCCGTTCTGAAAAAAAAAATGTTGGTTTTTGACCATACAATGACATATAATTTATAATTGAAACTCAGTTATTCTAGTAATGATCTCAATAAACATTTTTTTTAATGTCAGTACTTAACAATTCATGATATGCATTTATTTATTTTATTTATTTCAACTTTATTTCACGAGGGTAGCTCTAACAGCTGCACTACAGTAGTACAGCTGACTTGAAGAGGCCCTCGAAAGAAAAACAATACATAAAAATATATACAATACATTAGGAATCCAAGTAAGTAAAAGCTTCATTACGGCAAAGTTCAAAAACAATATAATAAATAAAATATTGGATAAACATTGTAACATTCATTAAAAATACAATAAACTTTAAATGCATGTTACACAAAATGTATTTGTGAATGAACAAAACACAGACAAATGCAAATAACACAATTACTGTATACAGATACATGATGGAAAATTATATTTAATTAGTACTGGACATTTATTTAACACTTTTTCCTTCCAGTTACAAAGTGTGTACGTGTGTTTCTGAGTACTTGTTTTTGTTTTAGTAATTTATATGTTTTTTTGCTTATTATAGTTCTTGATATACAATACCAGTATTAACCACAACATCTGTAATTTGCCTGATGTTTTCAATCCATCAAGACATAAAGTACATACAGTAGGCTCCTACAACAAGCTTTCATGTTGTTTTACTTAATAGACTCCCACTCACAAATCTTGAACTAGCAGGCTAAAAGTAGGTTGACATTGTTTCTGATACTGTGTAACCAACTTATGTCAGCTGAGGCGAAGGATGTGAAATTTAGGTTTTTTGGCAGTAGGACATGCACTTAGACCCCAGGGATTCAACTTCAGATTGTTATCGCATGTTAACAGGTGGAAAATGGAAAAATAAATCCGGTATAAGATGATAAAAAAATTATATTGGTCACTTGTGATAATCATCTAAGTATCGTTTTTTATTTTGTTTCTGTTCTCTTGTATCATTCATTCATTCATTCATTCATTTATTCATACAATCATTTTTTTATTCACTTATGTATTCACTTATTCAATCGTCAATCTGTCTGTCTATTCATTTAATCATTGTTTTCATTCGTTCTGTTGTTTCTTTCATTCATCGGTATGTCCGTCCCTTTATTAATTCATTTGACTATTGTTCATTTATTTATTCTGTCATTTATTTGTTCATTCATTCCTTTCATCCATCCATTCATCCAATTCTTTGTTCATTCTTTCAATTTATCATTCATATCCCCTCCCTGGCAGCAGCAAAAAATCTAGACACCTCAAACCATTCTCCTCAGACCGTAGGTGCTCAATTAACCCTCACACTCCTCTTGGCAAAAACATTTTTGATTCTACCACCAAGCTACAGGTCTGTGGTTGAACAGGTTATTCTTGGTTTTCAATGGAAATGCCATTATATACATTTTGGGCTTTAGATTGATACATAAATGGTAA